TGCAAGAAAGAAATTAATCAAAAGACAGATTCAGAATTATTTTGTTCATTGATTTGTGTGCAGGTCTTCAATTTGGTTCAATTGGTGCTTTATTGGTGACCAATTCCCAATTTGGCATTGCATTCAGTACCAAAATGCAATGTAATACCTGACAACACAGGAGTGTACGCAACGCTGCATGTTCTAAGCCTGTGAGGAAGCTAGAAAGGGTGAGGACACAGGAGAATTCACAAATGGAGGCGAGCAGCTCAGCCCGACAGAGGTAGGTTGGATAATAGGAACCAAAGCCTAATTGCACAGGCAGAATAGGTTGGAGCATCTTGTATCACTGGAAGGTAATGATTGTGTGAAGCTTATTGTTTATTTTATAAAGCACTAAGAGATAAGCATCTTAGATCCCCACATAAAGAGGAGCAAATACTAATTGTCATGATTTCGACCATTACAAATGGTAAACATGTCTTCATTAGACACAGTATAAATATGCCGATCATTGTAAAGAAAAAACTGAAAATAGCCAAACCTTAGGTTAAACCCATAGATCTTTACAAAGGAAGAAGTGCTTTGTCACCAGGCAAGCAAATGAAACTGGAATGATGCACAGCTATGAAAGTGAATAGAAAATTTTGATCTCTTTCTAACGAGGCTCCAGTGTAGTCCAGTAGATTAATTAATTCGTAACCCCTGCTTGAAAACACAGCCTCAAAGCTGGTGCATGTTTAAATTGCTTTCACTTCCTTACCTTTGTTTTTATTTGGACATTCACATAACCATTTCTAATTTCCAAAAAAAAAAAACAGGGCATCTCTCCACTCACAAGCCCCAGGAATGAAGACACTGAGCATGTGCACAGCAGAGCGCACACTGGCCGGGGCGTGGGTCACAGGTTTCATCTATTTTTTGTCGTGGACAACAGTGCTTGAGTCATGCAGTAATGATCTGCTTCCAATAAATGTGGTCATAAAGGGACCATCTTTTCTAAGCTTTTTATGTACTCATTCAAGATATTTATGTTTACTGATTCTCTTCTAATAAAATTAATACTCAGGCGCAACCCAGCAAAGCCCAAAACAAAGGTTTTAAATATTCCTGTTATTTTTCAGTGGGCTAATTTCCAAGAGAGGTAACAGACTACATCTTCTTTATAAAGGACTATAAAAAGGGGTAAAATATAATGATGATTCTTTAGTACAGATTTCATTTACATCTTAGACTACATTTTATGCCATTTGCATCAGTATATGCATGAGCCATTCTTATTCAAATCATACATCCAATTAAGATGTATCAGTAAACAAGAGCCGTTCGGTACTTCACGCTACCGTGGTACTAACAGTAATTCATTTCAAATATGATTCTTCCTGCACAATTAGCAGACAAGGCTATTTAGCACCAGAGGATGTTTATGTAAACTACGGAAAGTGCTAAAATGGGACATTAGTCACCTGTAAAATGACTCAAATGCCATCAATATTCATATTTTCAGAGTCATCCCTGGCTGTGCAACCCTAAGCGTAGCTGTATCACTTCCTCTTTATCAAACATCCTCGTCTGCGATTAGTGCTTCTGCTCAGGTACACAGCCATTTGTGGACCTTTTCTAAGGCTGCGAGTATGACGGCGGAGACACACACAGCCCAGGCCAGGGCGCAGTGCAGGACCCGCATGAGCCCATGCGCCGGCAGACCCCAGCGCCCGTGGGGCAGGTGCCCAAGGCAGCCTGGGGCATGTCCTCTGCAAAGGGCCAAGGTGATAAGGAAACAGAGAACACCAGAAATTTAACTTCTGTTGCTTTCAGTAAGAAAAAAACATGGTTAGAGTCACCATGACCATTGAATCATGAAAAATTCTCTTCTTGGGCCAGAGATAAAGCTCACCGACACAGCACCTGACTGGAAGCACAAGGTCCTGAGTTTGATACCTGGCGCTAAAAAAAAAAAATCTGTTCTTGGTTGGAACTAAGTCTACTTTGATTTACTGAATTACTTAAATTATTAATTTCACATAAAGTTATGAACATCCTTGAATTCACCGTCTTCATTAAGAGAAAACACTGACTGGAGGTGGGGCTAGTAGCTTCACTCAAAAAGAAACTTCACATCCTCTGCAAGTAGACCTCATCTTACAGAGGTAGATTCATTACATTCTTGGCTTCATGACACATTCATGTGAGTGGTCAGTCTTGGCCTTATTTATTAACTCATTCATTATTAGTGTGAAGAAATGAGTTAATAATTCATGAGCAAATGAATTAATTTGTCCAGCCGCACATTCGTGCTCCAGAAACTGCACGTATTTACATTCTCTGATGGCAACTGAACTAAATATTTATAATCTCATAAATACAGAAGAGAAGTGCTGTTTTTAACATCTGTCTACTTCACATTAATAAAAGTGGTAACACTAAAAAAATTTTTCCTAAACAAGGGCAACATTATATATGACAGACCATTCTAGGTTCCACTTTTCTTCATTTGTTCATAATTTGCTTAGTTATTCAGGCATCAATTAAATTACAAAAAGACAATGAAAGTTAGATATGTATATATAATGCACATGCAATAATCAATTCTAATTAAGGGAAAGACAAGCTAGTTCTTTTCACCCAGTACCTTAAGCTACTGCTTCTGAATAACAAGTACGATGCACCAGGTTCAACACCCAGCACTGAAAAACAACCAGACGTGAATATTCATTATCTCTAACACATAAGCCAGCAGCCTTCAACAGAAGTCTAGGTTTGACTCTCTTGTTCTGTGTGTGCCTACATTTGTGGATTGTTTAAATCATCAACTCACGAGCAAGAAAAAGTAAATATCCAAAAGTCACAACATGCAAGCAAACAATTTTAGTTGTTGCTACCGTGTGTTGATTAAATGATTCCCCACAGGAACTTAGTTTCTATTATGATTGACCTCGGGGTTTTGTATATAAATTAGCCATCAGAAATCATATGAATCTCATTTTTAAGACTGGCCCACCATTGGCCTTCACTGATTATATACCAAGTGTAAAATGAAGAGAGATAAATTTGAGTCACAGGTAGGACAATGGAGGCAGCTTCAGATCATACAGTTAAATGGAACAAATCAGACACATGAGCATCAATAGCACACTGTCTCTCTTATATAAGAAACTCAATTATAAACCCATTAAAGAGCAAAATGAAAGACAGATAACAGGAAGTGTGAGGAGGGAGAGATGGAGGGAGGCAGGACGGAAGTAGGGGTGAGTGTGAAGAGGGAGAG